TCCCACTCCTGCCACAATCTAAACAATCACAAAGTCCTGCTGAGTCTACTTCCTCCCATGTAGTTCTTCAATTTATTCCATTTTTTTCTATCTCCAGAGCCAAAATCAATCTGATGGACACAGCAGCTATACCTTTCTATAATGCAATTCTGATGCTACTTACAGAGCTTTTCCTTGTCCTTAGCATAATGCAATGCTCAAATCCTTTAATGTGGTTTAAAATGTCCCTGCCACCAGGACATTTTAAGACCAAGAAATATGTTTTCTAACAACTTATCTACATGTAGATGTCTTCCCTATACCTTCCATTGGGCTATTTCCTACTCATTACTCAGTCAACAAATAGTTCTTGAGTGTCTTCTATGTAACTAGCATGGTGTTTTGAACATAATGTCCATTACTAATAACCTTAATAGCATGCATTTATTGAGGATTTGGTGTGTGGAATGTTAAGCACATTCTATATTACTTAATTCTCACATCAATCCTGTGAGGTGGGGATCAAGCTATCCCACAGATTAGGAAGCTGCAGTAAAATGTACTTAAGATATTGCCTCAGGTCAAGAGTTAGGAATTGGCAGAACTGGGATTCAAATCCAGGCAGTCCAGCTACAGAGGCCATTCTCTTGACCATGACACACCATCATACACCAAAAATATCTGTTGGAAAAATAAACCCCTACTCCTGCAAAAACAAAAAGCACACAGACTGGAAGCCAGACTATTGACCACTATGATGATTTATATCCTAATTCAATTTTCCTGAGATTAATATTTGTTTCTTTAAGTAGACAATATTCCCACATACTCTGGACACCTGTGGTTCTCAATCACCTAATCAATTTTATTAGAATTTCTTAAGAAGCACATTTCAAATCAATTCCTTGACTATATTCCAGACTTTCTAAATTTGGATCGCTACATGTGGGAATCAGGTACTGGTGTTTTGCAATGAATCTCTTAGGTGGTATTGATCATAGCAAATACATAAAAAGTTCTGGGTTTCTTGAATATACGGCATCAAAGGATAAGAAATGCATAACTATATAATAAACATGTAGGAATACAAGTCTATTCCCCATATACCAAGTTCGAGTTGTCATCTTTTAAATTGTACCTTTAATTCCTGTTGTGATGTGAGGGAAGAAGAGGTGACCAGCATTCGCGTTAAGTTTTGAATTTTCTCAATCTGTACTTTTTGAAGTAAATCTTTTTCTTCCAAAAGTTGGGCCAGTTGGTCTTTTTCCATTGCCTGGGCCCGAGTCTCTAAAGAAACCTATAGAATGTAACACTGAGTTATAGTAATAATAAATATAGCTAGGTTTTAAAACCTGGAAAGTAGCTTAAAAGGGTAGAATATAAATTGTGAACCATGAAAAATCTAATGTTATTGAAATAAAATACTCTATCTGTAGAAAACCAATATGTAGTTACCATATTCATTTCTCAAACTGATAATAAAGTAAAAGATATATTTCTTCTCATGTCCATTTCTGCATGCCACGTATAAGATTTTAACAATGCTGTTAAAATAATTCTATTTATTGTCTAAAAATATATAAATAACAAGCAGAGAAGTCAGAAAAGCAGAGACCTACAGCAAAAGAAAAGATGTTCTTATAAGATTACCAAATGATATTTTACCTCATTTTTAAAAAGGTCATTAAAATGTAAGATTTTTACAAAATAGGGGGCCATGGTGGTTAAAACAAATAAATTACAAGTGACTGTGCTATTTTATTAGATTGCTATTGTAGGTTTAAAAGAGGAATTCAAGACAAGGTAAAACTGCAAAAAGTAGTTTTAAGTAACCATACATGGTCTCTCTTTTTAAACTAATTCCCAATGTTTTTGTGACAATTATAGTGTTTCTACATGGCCCATTTGAAAATCTCAAATTTTACCCTTTGGAAATGAAAAACAAAATCTAAAATAATTTCAAGAAACAAATCTTTCAGTTTATAGTAAACTAAACTAAAATTTTTATGAGTTGACTTCTTCTTAGTTGAAAATTGTTCATTAGCTGCAGAAGTCAGCTATTGATGCTTTAAGTGTCTCTGATCATTTAGGTAGATCTCAATTCTATATCTGTCCCTATCCTTTACTGAAATACATGGATCATACATACCTCCTCTAATTGTTTTTTAAGATCTATTATTTCTTTTCTATATCTCTTCAGGAGAGCTTCATCGCTTGATACCTCATTAACATAAGGGGTATTCTTCATATATTTAGCAGTGCTGGCAAACTGGAAAAAAATACAAGAGCATTTTAAGTGCTTGACATTAAAAAAACTATTTTTGTCAGTTTACGTTTCTTGTAATTAAGTTTTGTAAAGAAAAATAAATTCTCTTCCCAGGTGGCTTAATACTTTTGAACACAAAGAGCATTTTATGTTCCTGTAACAATGCTTGTCACTTACCCTGGCTGTTAGTTTTCAGGAGAGTCAAAAAAGTATTCTACAGACATGAGCTTACTAGAATCCTATCTACCCCTCAAAATCCAGGGCAAATACTCTCTCTACAGGAAGCTTTGCTTCCAGTCAAAAGCATCTCCCCTTCCTTTGAATTCTACCCTAAATATTAGCCACCTAACTATTAATTCAAGGCAATCATAGTGGAAACGGGTCTTATCTTCCCTATAAGACAATAAATTCTGTGAAGCAAGAGACTTTATTTCCTGTCTTTGTTTTTCTGACGTACTTTGACTCAGTGCTCAATAGCTACTTAAAGCAATGCTTCTTAGAGTATGAGTATCAGAAGTAACTTTAAGTGGGTACATGAAGGTGACCATTCAATAACACTGAATCCTTCATTGAGAAAGCTATTCTATTGACATTTCTCATTTTTCCTTTTTTTTTTTTTTTTTTTAAACAAAATGCAGGCCTTAGGCTCAGAGTAAAGGTGGGCAACAATTAGCTAGCAAGAATTTAAGAATTATTTTGTCATAAGCACACTCATATAGTTTTTGGGTGATCTTCTACTTGTTGCAAGTGATACTAGTTTTTCATTTATGGAGCTGATATAAAGTTTCCTTTTATAATAAATTAATTAAAAAGATTGAGTTGTTTAAAAGAAATATCAAGTCAATTTCAGTAGAAGTGTTAGATGTGGCAAAGATTATAGAGGTGGGATACAAATGATTGAGGTTTAGGAGAATTAAAAAATGCTATTTAGTAGACAATAGGTATGTTATGTCAGTTAAAAAAAAAACTATAGCAATTTTAGTAGGTATTTTTTCTTCTTCAAGATGATTTCCCCCCACAATATGTTGAGATAAAAATCAGACTCACCTGGAGAGTACTAAGGGTTTCATCAAAAGACACTGGAGTAATTGTGCAGATAATACGTGTTTTGGCATTTCCTCCCAAGGAATTCTGGAGAATTCGTGTTAATTTGCTATCTCGATAATTTATGAAACCACTTAGAAATGAGTTTGGGAAGAAAAAGAATAAGAGTTTTTATATAACAAAAATGGTTGGTTTTTAATGCAGAACTTTAAATTAGTTATAGTTTTAAAAATTAATTCTTTACAGGTTACCAGAAGCAGATCAAAATTACTAACTAAAAAATATTTAAAACAAGAAAATAAATTTAGTTAGTCATGGTCATATGTATAAGAAGCCATGCATGGTCACAGAATCATAAAAGCTTTTGAATACATGGAATTAATCTGTACATTTATCACTGAACTATTACAATTTTCAACTTAATAAAAAATGTAAGCATTAATAGTAAATGTACAATGGGATAGACTTACCCAATTTGTCCATCACTAAGTTTCTTGATCACTTGTCCCAAAATAAATAAACTTCGATTTATATTACAGCCTTCCTTGAGTCGCATGCCTGCATTTATTAACAAATATGAAAACTAAAATTGATCCTTGTACTAGATGATGAACTTACTTACCAGTAAGTTATGAGAGAAATCAGAAATTAAAGGGTCAGATGCTAAAGTCTATGCTTTGGATTAGATCTGAACTATCTTTAATACCACTGGTAGGCACTCTCTCCCTATTCTGTCTACCTATTAAGTGAATCAGAAGAGTTATCTCCTGAGAGGAATGGCAAAAGACAAAAGCTGACTAAGAATCAGAGGGAGGAAGAGGCCATTTCCTAAAAGTTTAACTACTCAGTTCAAATCTATTTTTCCCAAACTTCCAAATTATAAGCAACCAAAGACAAACAACCAAAGTAGTTCTGATAGGCTCACAACTAAAAAAGTTCTCATTTTTAAATTGTTAATATGCTCACATGGCTCAAACATCAAAAAAAGTACACTGAAAAACCTCTCCTACTTTTATGCTTTTTTTTTCAACCCGTTCCTGTATGAGGAAACCATTTTTATTAGTTTATTCTTCTAGAGAGTTTTAGAAATAAATATCCATATGTATTCATTTCTCTCTTTTTTACACATACAATAGCATACTAAATATGTTACTTTACACTTCGCTTTTTTTCACTTGGAAATATAACAGCAAACATTGTTCTCTTTCATTCTTTTTTATAGCATAGCATTCCGTTGTATGAATGTATCAGAATTTATTTACTTGGCACCCTATTGAGGGACATGCAAGTTTTCAATCTATCACATATATAAAAACTATTGCAATAAGTAATTCTGAATAGCTATTATTTCACAGGTGCATTATTCAGCTATTGCTATAATATTGCTGCTTTACAAGCCAGCCTAAAACAAGCGTTTAGTTCTTCACAGGTCTGAGGAGTCTACTGGGTTTGGTGGATGTTGGTCACACTCAGCTGAGTGTCTCTATGTCAGGCTGCAGGAAATTAACAGAGAGGCTTGACATCTTTGACTTTGAACCTTCCAATCTAAGTATGCTTTTCCATTTGTTTCAGTATTTGGTTATGTCCTTCAGGTCTGTTTTAAAGTTTTCCTTATTTTAGTCTTGTGCAATTTTTGTTGTTTCTTCCTAGGTATTACATTGTTTATGCCATTATTGTAAAAGAGTCTTTTTGTACACTAAATATTCTAACTGGTTGTTTGTATTACGAGTTGTTAATGTCTGCATATTAATTTTGTACTCCACTAGCTTTCTAAATTTCCTGATTATGAAAATTTGGTTTTCACAGTACTCTCATGAGCTTTCCAGCTATACGATCCTACCAAGTGTATAGTTTGTTTTTTAATTGATGCTTTAGTAGCCTGAAGTAGATAACTAGCCAGATGCAGAAGCTGCTTTTTACATTAAAGACTTCTATCATAAAATTATTATTGCCATTACTTTATTAGTTTCTAAAACGCATGTAGTACTTTTTATTCTATAAAAGAATGGGAAAACATTCAGACCAATATACTACATGAGTTTTCATTACCTTCAGTGCCTGTTTGAGCAGCTCTTTCACTGCCTGCAAGATCAACCAAATTCTGTAAGACGAAAATAAACCTTTAGGAAGTATAACTTGAAATAATAAAAACCAAACAACTGAAAAATTTTTAATGCACGGTTTATCTGAATACCACATCTGCATCCCTGTCTCTCGCCCCATTGTTTAGGCCTTTCGAGTCAAACTAATTTCTGTATCTTGTTTCTTCTTTATGTTTATACCATCACGACGGCAGAATAGGTTATCTATCTTCTGCACAAAGTTCAAAACCTTACTATGGTGAACGTAATTCTTTACAATCTGGCACTTGTGTTCCTCCGGCCTTATGTCTATCCGTTACTTACTCTTAACTCTAGCTGAACTACTCCCTATGCCCTCAGTACCTCGCATGCTTCCACACTTCCAGGTGCTATCTCTTGCCACTCCCTTTTAGTTAGTTCAAATGTTCTAATGTGCCCCTACTCTATTCAAGACCAAAGGCAAATGTTACCTCCTCAACTTTATCCTTCATGCCCCACACCTTCAATGAATTGCTCTTTCAACTCTGTACCTGGAGGTATTTATTGATATAACTTATTCTTGTAGTGTTGAACTAGTCATTTGTGTCTCTGAATACACTGTAGCATCTTTAAAAGCATGGATCTCGCTTTCATTTCACACATGATGTTGAAAAAAAGTGACTGTCTGTCATGCTCAGGTAGTATGTTAGGTGCTGGGTATATGGCAATGAACCAGACAAATAAGGTCCCTGCTCTCATAGAGCTTATATTCTACATGGGGTAGGATGAGGAGAGGAAGTTGGTGAGGAGAGAAAAAGATTATCATGGTAAGTATAATACAGGTAATTTAAAGAGAGTGCTGGAAGAGAAAGAGACAGAGAAGGTTCTTTGGACTGAGTGGTCAGGGAAGGCCTCCCATTAAGCTAAGATCTGAAATGATAGAAAAGAGGGAACCAGCCATGCAAAGACCAAGGGAACCATACTCCAAAATAAAGAATAGCTGATATACACAGTCACAAAGCAGGGACGAGCTTAGTGTGTTAAAAAAAATGGGCAGCGTGGTAGAGTTGGTGAAGTAGAGACAGGATGAGACAGCGTAGCAAAGGTAAGAACTCTGGATTTTTTAACTGTAATGGGAAGCCATGAGAGCGCTCTAAGCAAGAGTGACATGTCTTGATTTAACTTTCTGAAGGATCAACTGTGACCCCTGGATGGAGAACAGGTTGGGAAGGGGCAAGAGTGGCAGCAGTGAGCCCAATTAGGACACTGGTGTAGGAATTTGAGTGTGAGAGGGTGGTGGCTTAGGCTAGGGAGGACGCAGCGAAGACAGTAAGCAGTGGAGGAACGTTTTCTTTATTCTTTTAATCTCAGAGCCCTGGGCTGTGCTCACAACACAGTCCTGGTAAAGGCTCAGTTAATATTCTTAATGTATTAAAAGAAAGTCAAAGATTTAAATTAATCCTCTCTGTGGAGACTTTCAGAGATGACAGGTAATTATGTACTCCTGCTTTATAGTGCTATCTCAGATACTTCCTCTAAAATACTCAGAGAAGTCTAATCTTTCTTGTAGAGTATCTGCTACAGGTGACCTAGATACATAATAACAGGGTAAAGTGGTGGTGAAGGCAGCATAAACTAAGGTATAACGATGGGAACAAGCATTAGTGTTCAAAGAGGCCCAAGCAATCTGTACGAAAGGAGCTTATGGGGAGCTGGGGGGTTGGGGGTGGGGAGTTATATCTTGCCTAGTGAAGTGACACAACAAAAGCAGTGCCTAGTAACATTAGAAACTTGCATTAACAGACAGAAGAAAGGAAGACCAGAGTCATGGAGGCCAGGTCCAGGAGAATGAGATAGTGATTCAAGAGAGATGAAAACCTAAATGAGTAGGATACCCATGAGAAGGTAGAAAGATGGAATCACTAAGAAATGGTGATAATTGGACACAAAGGAGGAGAAAGATAGGTTTCAAATGACATGGGTTTCCAGCCTGGGTGACAGAATAATGCTGGCACTACTGGGAAAAAGGAATATTTACTATGATAGGAAAAAATTAATTTGGTTTTAGACACACTGAAGTTCGAGATAACAGTGGGACATACAATTACAATAATCTTTAGGAAGATATGAATTAGAACTCAGAGACTCTAGATAAAATAAATATTTGGCCATCATTAACAAAGGAATATTAATGGAATGTCTAAGGGAATATTAATGGAATGTCTAAGGGCAAGCAAGGGAAGGACACAGAAGATTCCGTACTTTTGCTAGGAGGGAAGGGGAAAAGAAGCCACAAAAGGAAATAGAGAAGCACAGCTTCTTCATAGAAAGGCCAGGAGATATTCAAAGGCCACCTCCAAAGAGCCAGAAAATGACTTTGGGGAAGACTTCTTCCCAAGAAGATACTTAGAGTA